TGGGGATGAGAACAAGGATACTGAATTTACTGGAACTCTGTGAGAATTAGAAACAAGGTATACAAAAAAAGCACCTTGTAAATAGTAGCCATTCACTACAAAGCAGTTGTTATTTTAATATCCATCCATCCTTTTAAATAGTTGCTCAATTTTGCTATGTCGATTTTTGTAATACATTATAGTGGCTATCTTTCTCAGATTTGTGTTGTACTCAGACTTCTTGAATGGGTTATCTATGTTTATCTGAGCAATAGCTTAACAAAGGGAAACAAGATAGGGCCAGAGATCATGCCAACTTAGATCTTCTCACAGATAACGTTAGTGGACTGTCTTTAGATAGAATCGCACAATTAATTTGCTTTGCAGTAGCCCCAAATTCTTCATCTTATCCCTGAGGATATACAGCTTTTTGTTCAGAGTTACCCTATAAAAAGGCTACTTAGCCAGTTACTTTGCTAAGACTGCATATGAGATAATCACATCTGTTTCTCAAACATTTGTAAACTATGTGTTTAGTGATATTTTGGCTTTTTCCCCCTCAAGAAAGCTTATTGTTCTATATATTCTGAAGTACACAAGTAGTTTCTGAACCATTCTCTTTGCTTCCAGTGTAATCCTACATCAGAACTTCTGTCATGCTGCCATCAGAGTTATCCTTCTATTATGATCTGATTCTCTGCTTATACCATCTGCCTTGTGTAAAACTCTCCGTTGGCCTCACAAGACCATTGCCCACAGGATAAAGCTGATGGAAGATTTTATGCATTTGAATATCAACTGAAAATTTAAACTTACTAATGAAAAAACATCCACTACACCCTTGATCTGTGCAGATGACAAATTCAACTCTTAGAAAATGGAAGAAAGGGCCCGGCGCGGTGGCTCACGCCTGTAATCCTAGCTCTCTGGGAGGCCGAGGCGGGCGGATTGCTCGAGGTCAGGAGTTTGAAACCAGCCTGAGCAAGAGTGAGACCCCGTCTCTACTCTAAATAGAAAGAAATTAATTGGCCAACTAATACATATAGAAAAAATTAGCCGGGCATGGTGGCGCATGCCTGTAGTCCCAGCTACTTGGGAGGCTGAGACAGAAGGATTGCTTGAGCCAGGAGTTTGAGGTTGCTATGAGCTAGGCTGACGCCACGACACTCACTCTAGCCTAGGCAACAAAGCGAGACTCTGTCTCAAAAAAAAAAAAAGAAAAGAAAAGAAAATGGAAGAAAGGATGATAGGGGATTACATCTCATAACTTCAACAAAAATTGGTTGACATCATGGAAGAGATGGGAATTTCAGGACAAAGTGACCTTAGCTAGTATAGAAATAAAACTAAAGGAAGACTAGAGTGTGAATAAGGCAAATGTAATTCTAGAATAGTAGAAAGAAAGAGTAAGTTTCAGAGTTAAGTTGGACATAAAAGAAAGTATCACTCTCGGTGATGGTATAGTTAAGCTTTATAAAGCTTATTTCTTCTAGGGATGGTTCAGTCAAGAAACATATTCAGATTATAAATAGGTTTAGATATATTTATAAATACATCAATAATGTACAATGGAGGGCAGGACAGGTTACAGGAACTTGAATATGATATTTGAGGGAAACTTTCGGTGGCCCTTTATTCTAAGAGGGAATTTATATTGCACAGTTTAGGAGCTTGACCAAGTTTGGCCATTCCTTTGTTCTTATATTTATAAGGGTTGTTATAATCCAATTATTCATAGGAACAAATAGCTATAAGTTCACCAAAACCTTAGATGACAAAATCATTTTCATCTATATACACATATGTAAAATATTATATATATGTGAAATGAATGTATACATTGTGTATATATACACTGACATTGTGAAACTCATAATTATAAAACATTTTTAAGAAAGAGGCACAGACTTCTTTTACTCTGCATGGAGGAAACTGGAGAATGCTAAAAGTCATAGATAGGTTTGAAAATATTCAATTACAAGTGTGTTTTCTATAAAATCTCTCTCAGTTGAGGTAACAGTAGCTATCCCCACCCCCATTCCCTAGGTAGCCAAATTAATTGGGAAGAGGAAGAATGTGTGCATTGGAGTAGAGTCTCACACACGATCACAGTGCCTTGGCAGCACCCTGTCGTGGCCTCCTGTCCCACCTGTGTGATGGCCTTTCAGAAATGACAAATAGTTTCTTAGTTCCTTTAGGTGAAAAGACTGAAATGGCAATTAAAGAGGCATCCTAGGTTTAAAAAAAAGTAACTGTAACTTCGTAATTTTATTTTCCTAGCATCTGTTCTATTCAAGCCAAGCCTACTGTGGTGATCTTCATCGAGACAATTCAGGGGTTTCCTAGCAACCAAGTTTCCTGTGGTTTCCTTGGTTATAAAGCAATGACATAACTCTTGTGGGCAACTTCAAAAGCACAGAAGAAAGCCCTCCTAAAGAATGAGGTTCCGAAAAAAATCAGGTTACTGCTTACTGAGTATCTCTGTTTAATTTCTTGTCACAGGCATTAATAACACTAATAAACGATGATGTGGAGATTGCAAAGTAAAATTGCATGTAAGATTGTATGTTCTTTTTCATTGCCTTTGACATGTGCCTGGTCCTCATATGTTTTCTGAAACTAGGATTCTTTTTTCAATCTCTTCTAATTGATTGCTATCCTTAGATGCAACCAGCAGATGAAATTTAGACACTTTCTTAAAACAAATGACAAGAGGTCATTTATGAATACAGCAGAGTTGTGGTTGCTGAGGAATAAGAACCAATAATACTGCCTTGCTTAAGCTTCTCAAAAGAAGATAGATGAATGGCCAGTAAACATATGAAAAAAATGCTTAATATCAGGGGAATGCAAATCAAAACCACAATGAAGTATTACTTTACCCCAGTCAAAATGGCTTTTATTAAAAAGCCTCAAAACAATACATGCTGGTGTGGATACAGAGAAAAAGGAAAGCCCATACACTGCTGGTGGGACTACAAATTAATACAAACTGTATGGAAAGCAGTATGGAGATTCCTCAAAGAACTAAAAGTTGATCTACCATGTGATCCAGCAATCCCACTACTGGGTATTTACCCAAAGAAAAAGAAGTCATTTTATCAAAAAGACACCTGCAGTTGAATGTTTATTGCAGCACAATTCACAATTTCAAAGATTTGGAATCATCCCAAATGCCCATCAGTTCATGAGTAGATTAACAAAATGTGTTTATGTATACTATGGAGTACTACTCAGCCATGAAGAAGGATGAAATAATGCCTTTTGCAACAATCTGGATGGAACTGGAGACCATTATCTTAAGTGAAGTATCTAAAAAATGGAAAAACAAACACCACATGTATGCACTATTAAATTGGAACTAACTAATGAGCACACATGAAAACTTACCTAACAGGTACAATGAACACTACCTGGGTGACTGGCATACTTTTAACCCTGACTTGATCTTTACAAAAGCGATCCATGTAACTAAAAATATTTGTACCCCCATAATTCTTTGAAATTTTAAAGAAGTGTGTTTTAGAGGCTTAGATGGTAATGTCAAGGGCTTCTGGTGGAGCCCATCCAGTAAGTGTTAACTTACACTGACTGGTAAATTTTCAGTGCCAGCATAACCAGCATTAAGTACTTTTACTTACTTAGTTTTTTCCTTCTACATTCATAAAGAAAAACTATATTGGGAAACTGTAATCTCTGATAATATATCTAAAATATACAAGATGCCAACAGATGAAGGAAATAGAAATTTCCACAATTAGGAGTAAAATTTGTGCTACGTAGATTATTCGTCCTTGTATCTTCAGTGCCTATCATAGAATATGGCTTGTGTTAAATATGAAAGATGGAATTAATGAATAACCAGGTATCAACAGCTCCTTTAGTTTTTCCAATGGAAATCAGGATTTAGTTTTGTGTTCACCATTGGACATTCTAGATTTTGCATTGTTTGCTGTTGAGTTTTATTGTTGTTGTTGTTTTTTTTAATAGTGATTGATTTTGTTCTGGCACAGTTGGGCTACTTGGAATCAGTTTGATTCTTCTGAAGCTTGCTTTTAAATTTTGTTAGACTAGGTCCAGAGTAGCAGTTAGTCTAGGGCTAATTAACTTTTATGACTAAGGTGATACCTATATGATAATTCTTATGGATGCTCCATGTTATTGCACTGGCTGGTAGAACCATGAATTATGATTAACTCTTCAGGCGCTCTGAGAATTGTTCAGACTGAGATTCTTCTTCAGCCCTGGGTAGCTTCCTCTCACACCGTTGCATACCAGAATTCAGCCAGACTCAAGGAGAATTCTCAGCAGATCCCCAGAGCATTACCTCTCTACAACTCCCTCATCTCTGGTATTTAGTCTTGCAGTCTCTAACCCCTTGTCCTCCCTTAACTCTGATGTCTTTCTTAACTCAGCATGAACACTGGTCTCTGTCTGGGTTCCCCTTCTCTGAACTGCAGCCTAGCCACTGCCTTCAGGCTGTACACTGGACATTCACTGAACTCGCCTTGTTTCTTTACCTTCATTCAGGAATCACAATCCATTGTTTCATAGATTTTTGTTCAGTTTTTAAGTTATTTAAAATGGGACGGTTAATATGGTTCATTATTCCATCATGGCTGAGAGCATAAGGCTCAATACTTTCAAATAAAATACCATCTTTGAAATCTGCACATTACATAGGTAGCCTGGGTTTTTGCCTTACATCAATGGTTAAAAATATCAGCACTCCATGTGGTTCTTCAAGAGGTTAGTTTTGAATTTTTGCTCCCTAGCTTGCAAGAAAAGCTCAGGTAAGAATGGTAACACTTTATCATTCAAGAAAGGAAGTCTATAGATTATAATGAACATGTCTGTTTCAAATTTCTAAGACTTCATTTCTATGTCAAATTAGAGCATTGAAAAACATTTTAATTGGAGTACTTTCCTTTAACTCTCCCATCAATGGGTTCACTCAGCTATTTTTTAATATTATGCTTTTAGCTTTCACTAAAGACATATAAAAACATATCACACTTGCTGTCATTGGGAAGAGGGTATTCTATGTGGAGAGTTTAATCACACATATCCCCCCAATTATTACTGAATCAGGATGCCTAAAACCTTTGCTATTACCTATCCACAGCCAAGCTAAACACTAAGCTTTTGAATTTTTGATCTTTTGATTTTAATAGTTAATGTGAATAGACCCCAGTAATTTTATATGTTTTATATAATAAGATCTTTTAGAGTCTTGTGGGTTTTTTGTTTGTTTGTTTTTTAAGAGAAAGGTTTCTGTATTGTACTAGCATTCTGCTTTAAATATGAGATTTTGTTATCATGTTTTCAGAGAGAATAGATATGTCTACCTAAATATGCTTTATTTTGAAATGTTAGGAAAATGTAATGAGTCCCAGACAGAGTAAATTTTGTAAATCAGAATTTATCATTCTAGAAGCACATGGGAAGTATTGGAATTCATTTCGCTGTAAGTATAACTGCTGAAGTGAGTCTGATGTTTTCGAAGGCCATTAAGGCCTTTTAATCATACATTTTGGACTTATGAGAAAATCTTGGGGGTTATTCTAAAATCCTAACAGATGCCTTCTGTTAAAATTCCTGCAAAATGTATCTCTTCTTGTACTTTGATTTGACTTCCATATTTATTTAATAAAATAAAGCAAACAAGTATCTTTTATTATTAGGGAAAAAAACAGAAATAGAAGGGATCTGCAGGATCATTTAGATCTACTTGTTCAATTTATGGTTGAAAAAACTGAGATTCACTTTCCTGAGTCAGAAAATGACTTTCTCAACAACATGAGGTTAATGGTGGCCAGAAATAGCAATCAGAAACCTACTGTGTTAGCTTGACTAACACACCAAGCTTCTTTGGCTCCAAATACTTTAGATATTGTGCCTTAAATATCATTTCAATAGTAAAATTTTCCTCTTAGATGTAGATATGCCAAAGAATACGCCACAGTCTACTTTTAAGGAAATTAATTATATAAAAGAAAGGATCGTATGGTTATTTATGAATATAGTATTTTAAAACAAATAAATTCAGCATTATTATTAGCAATAGAGTACAATCACTTTGCCTCCCTAGGAGTATTTAGTTTAGTTGTAGGACTGCATTGTAGACATATTTTAAATTGTTGATTTTGTTCAAAATTAGCATCTGCTGCTGAAGAATCACCATGACTCCTCACTGAAAGGTTAAAGTGAATTGTTGAGCATGATGAAGTAAGAGAAATCATGCCTACATAAATTTCTTCACATTATATATTTCTTCTCTATATCTTTAGGAAGTTCAATAACCTGAGACAAAGCGGATGCTGAATGTGTCTCTCCAAAGGGTTGGAACTTTAAAACATTTTGTCCTTTTCCTTTCATTGGATTTCCTTTTCTTACCCTGATACTTATTTTGTGTCTTAAACTTCTATTATGGGGTCAATATATATGCCACTGAAAAAAGGTCTTATAGTTTCTCTTTTAGTGAACCGGAATATTTTTCCATACATGTTGATAGTGATACAGTATAGACATTGGTTTAGCATGATAAAGCTCTGAAAGTTGCCTTTGCTTTCCTAATGAAGATCATGGCAACCTTTTTACCATACTTGTTGTTTTCAGCATAGTATGAAACCCACAGGGGAAAAAAAAACCCAACCAAGTAAATACAAATAAATAAATAATATAATTCCATAGTACTGAGTTAGTATGATAACCCTTATGCAGAAAAATAGCTATAGATATTTTCCCCTGCGCAATCTGTCAAAACATTTTGGGCTTCTATGTGGTCTGTGAGTGAAATTCAATTTTCATTACAAAATCTGTTTATACAAAAGCATATGCTCCATTACTTTCCAGGAAATATGAAGTCATAGCCCACTGTGAATGCATATAAAGCATAGCAAGTACATACCAATGAAATCAAGATTAAGAGGCGTCATTAATTATTTTCAATGTGCACCTGAAATGAGAAAAGCACAATAATGAACTTGAGTTGTTGATGTCAACCCATTTCTCAATATTTATTATGAGTTATGCCCATCTTTCCAGTGGTGACAACTTCCCCATGAGAAAATGCCACACACAAAGGATCTCCTTCATCCCTCTCCAGAAGAGGAGAAGTGGAAACACCAGAAGTGTCTGGTGCAGAGCCCCAATTCCTACTTCATGGATGTAAAATGCCCAGAATTCTGTAAAGTCACCAAGGTCTTCACCATGTACAAACAGTAGTTTTTTGTGTTAGTTGCTCAACTGTCCTTTGCCAGCCTACAGGAAGAAAAGCAAGGCTTACAGAAGGACATTCCTTCAGAAGAAAGCAGCACTAAAAGTACTCTGAATTAAGATGAATGGGAAACCATCCCAATAAACACATTTTGGATTAAAAGACCAATTATTACATAGCATGAGCTTAAAAGCTATTTTGATTTTTGCACTGAGAAAGTTTTCAGTTGTTCACATGATTTAGAAAACAGCAAAAAATACCTGCCTTCCCATGAGACTTTTTATGGTGAGTCCAGTGTGATGACCAAAAAGGCTTTTTATTTGATAGCATCCTTGCTGCAGGAAATAATATATTTTCATGTAGATATATTCATTTCCAGGCAGAACACCAAGTTATTTTCCATTGTTTTTCCCTTTAGGAGCTTTCCTGATTCTAAACCTTTTATGAGATAAAGCAAGTCTTTTTGAAGACAAATTGGATCCTGTAGAATGTGAAACTATTCTAAACTACCAGGTGTATATGATCAGTCTCAGTTGTGTAAGCATCAACACAGGACAATAAATTGAAACCTTAAAATCTGTACCCCATAATATGCCGAAATAAATAATTAAAAAAAAAGCTATTTTGAAGCTTGTATTGATGTGAAGTAAGTGTCAATATAAAACAATGGAACAACAGATCTTACCCATTATAGTGAAATCAGAGTTAAGATATTTCATTTGGATTTTTAAAAAATGAAACATTATTTTTTAATTCATCATTTAACTTGATAAATAGAAGTTGTATGTATTTATGGTGTCCAGCAGGATGTTTTGATATATGTATCCATTACCTTACACACCTATCTTTTTTGTGTTGAGAACTTTAAAAATATACTCTCTGAGCAATTTTCAAGTATGCAGTATATTGTTATTAACTACAGTCATTATGTTGTACAATAGATCTCCTGAAGTTATTGCTCTTTTTTAATTGAAATTTTGTGTCCTTTGACCGAAGTCCCCCCAAACTCATTCACCCACCCCAGCCTCTGATAACCATCATGATACTTTCTGTTTCTATTTTTTTATTATTATTTATTTTTTATTTCAGAATATTATGGGGATAAAATCATTAAGGTCGCATACATTGCCCATGTCTCCCCTCCCCCCTCGAGCGAGAGCTTCAAATGTGCCCATCCCCCAGATGGTGTGCATCACACTCACTATGTATGTATATACCCATCCCCTCCTCCCCCCTCCCCCCTGCCCCACACCCGACAAATGTTTGTTTTTCTATTTTTCTTAACATTTTGGTTACATTTTATATCTTTGCCTCTCCCTAGGAAGGGTTAGAGGTATGCACTTCCCCACTACAATGTTCACCCCATCCCACAGATGTGGGACTACCCCTCCAACCCCCAAATCCCTGGTGAACACCACCATCCTTTGAGCACCATCGTGTTAATCAGTCAGTACCAATTTGATGATGAGTCTATATGGGTACTTTCTGTTTCAATGAGTTTGATTTTTTTTTGTTTTTTAGATTCCATGTATTAGTGACATCATTCAGTGTTTGTCTTTCTGTGTTTGGTTTATTTCTCTTAGCATAATATCCTCCAAGTTCATCCAAATGAATTAAAGACTTAAACATAAGACCTGGAACTCTAAAACTATTAGAAGAAAACACAGGGGAAAAGCTTTTTGACATTGGTCTGGGTAAAGATTGTTTGGATATGATCCTAAAAGTACAAGCAGCAAAGGTAAAAATAGACAAATGGGATTGCATCAAGCTTCTGAGCAGCAAAGGAAACAATAGAATAAAGGGACAACCTATGGAATGAAAGAAAGTATTTGCAAACCATACATCTAATAAGAGGTTAATATCCAAAATAAATAAGGAACTCAAACAACTCAATAGCAAGAAAACAAATAACCCAACTAAAAAATGGGCAAAAGACCTGAAAAGACATACAAATGGCCAATAGATATATGAAAAATGATCAATATCACTAATGACCAGGAAAATACACATTCATTTTAATGTCTTTTATTAATGATATTATGGTGTCCATGTATATTTGTTAGTATTTATTGTCAGTCATAGTATGCAAATTATTCAGTTTCTAGTTACAGCACTGTTATAAATTATCTTTATCCAGCTGACTCATAAAATCAAACAAAAGACCTGTTTGATTTTCCAATGAAATTAGCTTGCCTATTTGCTAGTTTTTGACTGGATTTAAGTCAAACCATTGATCATATAAAAAGTTCCTATTCCCACACCATTGTCTTCATTCCATTATTCTCTTAATCAAGTCTTTTTCTGCCCAATGTCTACTGTAGTACTGATGGTAGATGGAGAGATGAAGTCTATGTTGACTGAGATAAATAAGTTATTTGTATATCTCTTGCTAATCATTGTACCTGATTATTAAGGGATAAGGAAATTAACGCAATTGTGACTAGGACATTGAGCCTGTGAAATTCTGTCATAGAATATCATGATGAAGATATATCTAAAATAAACTAACAAATGTCTTAAAATTCTTCTTGTTTCTTAGAGTTTCTTTATCCAATTACATATGTAAGAATACATATGTAACTGGTGATGATGAGATAAAATTCTTTGAGTGAGTGTAACAATAGTTCTGTAGGTGAAGTTAAAAGACCATATTGACATTGCTAGAATATTTTTTTGCAGTAGGCATTTTTGTTAGAATATCAGGGGTTGAATTTGTGGAAGTCTTCTTAAAATGATCCACAGGTGACTTCTATGTAGTACTCCTAGATTAGAGATTTCTATTCATCTAGTTATAGAAAGATAGAAATGTCAAGTAAATTCACAGTTAACACTTTTCAATGAAAATGTTAGCCTTAATGTAAATTTCTAGCACTACAGTAGGGTCCAGGTACCACATAAACCTGACTATTCTAGGAAAAGCATTCATAAATGCAGAATAATGCTGAAGAGGATCTTGATTTTTAAATCATTGCTTAAACCTAGCTTTTCAATAAAGAGCAGAAATTGATGAAAGTTTAAAGGAATAATAATCAATAGACACAGTCAAAATAGTAACTTCTATCACATTTATAAAGATGTGTGAAATAGAAGTGTTCAGAGGAACTTGGAGGTTTTCCTTGTCTCTAAGTTAGGCAGCTTTAACTAGACTGGGAGAGGTCCAATGTATATACCTGGCTGCAGATGTCTACCGTTAGAGAAAGTGGAAGAGGGCAATGGATAAACAAACTCCACAGGTCGTGTCTACTGCTAAACTAACTCTTCAGTATGATTGTGTGAGATAATGTATGAAAAAGCACATAGCACGATTTCTGGCACACAGTGAATGCCAAATATATGGTAGATAGTAATTACTAAGAGAGGTAGCAATTCTTAATGGCTAAAAGCATAGATTCTGAAGTCAAACCATCTGTGTTTTCATCTTTCTTCCACAATACCAGCTGGGTAAACTTGGGAATGTTATTTAACTTCTCTGAGGCTTGAAAGATAAAAATAGTGTCTACCTCATATGGTTGTCAGGAAAATAAATGAGTGAGAATATATAAAAAGCAATTAAAACAACCCCTAGTATGTAGTAAGCACTCAATTTAAATACCAGCTATTTCTACTACAGCTACAACTATGATGAAGGTGATGATTACTACTCCTACCACTATTTCTGAAACTACTGTTATCTGGTCTATCTTATTGGTAGTTGGTTGGGAACTTGTAGAGACTTTGGATAAACAGTGTTGGATAAGTCAGCAGCTTAATGATATGACCAGTTTGGACAGAGTTGAAGCTTACTTTGTAATACCTACATAGCACGTGTGAAAAAACAGGTTACCAGGAGGCTTAAGCTATCAGATAAACAAAGCACTTTTATCAACTTTAGCAAATTATTTATAAGTAAATGATGAAATGATGCTATTTTAATCACAGATTTAAGGCATACCAAATTCTTACCAAGATGAAAATACCTGAGTCCCAAGATTTATTAAGAAAAGCTTTATATGATATAAACATTGAAACAGTTTTCTAATAGTTATTTTATGTGTTTTAAAAGAATTGACAACCTATTTTTTAATTGTGGTAAAATATACATAACATAAAATTTATCACTGTAAGCATTTTTATACAGTTCAGTGGCAATAAGTACATTAACATTGTTGTACAACCATCAACATCTTCTTCACAATCAGAAACTCTTTACCCATTAAAAATAACTCCTCATTTCTCCCTCTGCCAAGTCCTTAGCAACCACTATTCTACTTTCTGCCTTTATAAATTTGACTGCTCTAGGTTCTCCACATAGGTAGAATCATATGATATTAATACATTTGTTTTTGGCTTCACTTAGCCTAATATCTTCAAAGTTCATCCATGTTGTGGCATGCATCAGAATTTTATTTTTTAAGGCTAATATTCCATTGTATGTATATGCCACATTTTATTTATCCATTCAGTTGTTGATGGACATTTAAGTTGTTTCCACCTTTTGGCTATTGTGAATACTGTTAATAATGCTGCTATGAACATTTGATGTATCTGTAGTTATTTTTAAAGAGTATTATTTAACCTAGCCTTTCTACTAAAATGAACTTTCCCCCCTAATAGTCCAAATTACTGAGCTTTTCCTATGTACCTTAAATGTCGGTCATCAAATTTTAGCTTACATCACAATCACCTACTTAGAGAAACATGGTTAAATGAAATTAGTGGGTCCTATCCCAGAGTTTCTGATCCAGTAAGTCTAGGGTAGGGCCTGAAAATTTGCATTTTTAATACATTACCTAGTGATGCTATTGCTGCTGGTCTAGGAATCGCATTTTGAGAACCACTGTTTTATAACATTGCTTTCGTTGATAAAAACCTCTAATACTGATTTTGCCACTAGCTGTGTGACCTTGAGCAAGCACATTTACCTCTCTTCACCTCTACAAACTGAGTACTCACACCAATACATGTTCTTTTCTCTAATCTAAAATTCTATGAATATTTATTTTAGAATCCTAGTTAGAAACAGATGGCACTTTCAAATTAGGAAAATTTGAGGAGATTTGTCGAGTTTTTATTTACAAAGGTGAGTAGAAGGGAAGTCACAAAAGACAGTTCAGTTGCCCAAGTAAGAAATGGTGGCACCATCATCACCCCTAAGTCTCACAAGCAGAGGGAAGGGGA